ATGCCTTACTATAGTATGACGTTTTTTCACGTTTTTATGCCTTACTATACTATGCCATTTTTTATGCCTTACTATACTATGACTTTTTTGACATTTTTATGCCTTACTATACTATGGCGTTTTTTGACGTTTTTTATGCCTTACTATACTATGATATTTTTTATGCCTTACTATACTATGGTGTTTTTTATGCCTTACTATACTATGACATTTTTTGATGTTTTTATGCCTTACTATACTATGACGTTTTTTGACGTTTTTATGCCTTACTATACTATGCCATTTTTTATGCCTTACTATACTATGGCGTTTTTTGACGTTTTTATGCCTTACTATACTATGCCATTTTTTATGCCTTACTATACTACGGCGTTTTTTATGCCTTACTATACCATGACATTTTTATGCCTTACTACACTATGACATTTTATCATGTTTTTATGCCTTACTATTCTATGACGTTTTTTATGCCTTACTATACTATGACGTTTTTTCACGTTTTTTTTGTCTTACTATACTATGATATTTTTTATGCCTTACTATACTATGACTTTTTATGCCTTTTTATGCCTTACTATACTATGACTTTTTTTGCATTACTATAATATGACTTTTTATGCCTTACTATAACATGACATTTTTATGCCTTACTATAATATGACTTTTTATGCCTTACTATAATATGACTTTTTATGCCTTACTATACTATGATGTTTTTATGCCTTACTATACTATGACTCTTTATGCCTTTTTATGCCTTACTATACCATGACTTTTTTTTGCCTTACTATAATATGACATTTTTATGCCTTACTATACTATGACGTTTTTATACCTTACTATACTATGACTTTTTATGCCTTATTATAATATGACATTTTTTGCCTTAATATACTATGACTTTTTATGCCTTAGTATAATATGACGTTTTTATGCCTTACTATACTATGACTTTTTATGCCTTACTATACTATGACTTTTTATGCCTTACTATACTATGATGTTTTTAGGCCTTACTACACTATGAGTGTGTATGCGTTACTATTTCATGACTTTTTATGCCTTACTATACTATGATGTTTTTAGGCCTTACTACACTATGAGTGTGTATGCGTTACTATTTCATGACTTTTTATGCCTTACTATACTATGATGTTTTTAGGCCTTACTACACTATGAGTGTGTATGCGTTACTATTTCATGACTTTTTATGCCTTACTATACTATGATGTTTTTAGGCCTTACTACACTATGAGTGTGTATGCGTTACTATTTCATGACTTTTTATGCCTTACTATACTATGATGTTTTTAGGCCTTACTACACTATGAGTGTGTATGCGTTACTATTTCATGACTTTTTATGCCTTACTATACTATGATGTTTTTAGGCCTTACTACACTATGAGTGTGTATGCGTTACTATTTCATGACTTTTTATGCCTTACTATACTATGATGTTTTTAGGCCTTACTACACTATGAGTGTGTATGCGTTACTATTTCATGACTTTTTATGCCTTACTATACTATGATGTTTTTAGGCCTTACTACACTATGAGTGTGTATGCGTTACTATTTCATGACTTTTTATGCCTTACTATACTATGACGTTTTCATACGTGGAATCATTTCATATGTGAAGTCTGGACAGGGTTTGCAGCCCCCCCTGCAAAATTGTTGCAAAATTATGTAACATGGCCACAGCAGCAAATACGCATCTTTATGCAATTTGGCAAATATATACATGCTTATAATGTAGAAATGGGGCAAAAATTGGAAAAATGCAATGCTGAGATCAATCACTTCCCAATGTCACCAGAGGTCCACTTCTGAAATAAAACCTTGGGGTTTTCCAACAAGAGTATATGCTGAAACTTTCATGATTTAGTCAAAAAATGCACAATTGTTTTGCCTACCTGCCCCACTAATGGAGTGGCAATCAAATGAAAATAAAAGAATCTCCATTTTAAAACTCACAATGAAACAGTCACAAAATAATCTGGTAATTTTGGTTTCCCAGTGGTACACCCATTTAATTTGAATAAAGACTTGATACTGTGAAATTATATGTACATGTGTACATCAACAAATATATTGAGCTCTTGATATTAAATGTGACAAAGTCAGGGAAGCTAGGCATTTCACTGTTATTTTTAACAGAATCTATCTGCTCAACTGTGCTTTGCTACTCAGGAACATAAACCCTCCAAATCATTTACAATACCAACAACAGTGTGCAGTGATGAAACTACTTTTAAATTATTTCTCATTATATGAGTTGCCCAGGTAGCCTCATGAACCTCTGACCAGGGCAACCTTTGTTGGATCTTATATCTCCATGTTTCAGTTACAGGAAATATTATCACAATCTCCCTTTCCTGAGTAATAGCATAGGATAATGGCCAGAAGTGTTTCTGCAGAATATCATGATGTCACAGTAATGTTGATTTTTGACCATTTGGAGCATCGGGTCTGATCTATTAGACACGGAGGCATAGAAAGTAACCAACAATCTACAGTAGAAAGAAATTCCTTTTTGTGTGTAGAGGAGTCTACTTACTACCACGTGACCTCCAGGTTGAGTTTAATGGTCCCCAGGTCGTTGACATCCACAGCCACCACCTGAGGCATAGCAGTAAACAGCTCCTTGGTTTCACAGATCACACTTCCCACCAACATGTGAGTGGCCAGGCCCTTCAGCACTGTCACCTGATAAGACCAAAAAAAAAAAAAAAACTGTTCACTGAATGCGCCTGGAAAACAATCTTTTCAAGTTTCTCTGACATCCAAGTCACTGGCACAAGTCAGCTGATTGTTGATGAATTGTTGTGATTTTGAGTATTGGCCTGTATACCCTGTACTATCATCCTTGACTACAGATAAAAAAGTGACTAAAGCATACAAGGTTCGATCTGTGATGAGGTTTGAAGTGAAATTAAGTACAAATCTTTGTACCCCTTGGCACCATCAAGGGCCAATTGTCTAAATGATACACAAAACAAGTAGGAAGACCAAGCTCTGGTAAGAATGGCCATGAGTCATGAGTCAGTCATATTGTGTTATGGAGCTGCAACTAATGATGATTTTCAATTAATCTGCCCATTATTTCTTGATTAGTCAGTTATTCATTTTGTATATAAAATGTCAGAAAAAGTGAAAAATGCTCATCACATTTGTCCTCAATATTCTAAAACTCAAAATTAATAAATTTACTATCATATGTGACAAAAAGCATCAAAGACATATAAGAAGCTGAAACACATAAAATTTGACACTTTGCATGAAAATGATTAATTTAGGCGGTTATCTGGATTTCCACAGTACCTTGATGTTGATGAGGTCAGTGATGAGTGGCATGAAGACCATCTCATCTCCATCCCAACTCTGTCTGGAGTTCACTTCAATCCTGCCCTTTAGCTTCCACCTCTGACGACCGTACCGCATGAAGATCTGGAGGAAGGAAGGAGACGGCAGTGCGAAAAAACAAAAAGGGTTTAAGTCTGAAGCATGAGAAAGGGCAACACCGGCAACATTGTTCAATACTGGAGGGCAAGTTGGATATACAGTATGTTATTCTACCATTTCATTCTGCTGGAGACCAACTCCACTTAACTAAATGGTTTTGCAAACATGTAACTGTACATGTAAACATGTAAAGTTTTTTTTAACATCTGTGTTACAATAAAAAAAAAAAAAAAAAAAAAAAAAAAGAACTTGCCTCGTACTGGTCTCCAGGACAGAGTCTTGCAAAGCCTGCTAATCCTGCCAGAGAGAGGAAATTGACTTTTAAAAAACATTTGGACATGACTGCAGGAAAAAACTGATATCAATTCGGAGCCAAGCAACCTCTTTTGTTTTTATGTGACTTCAGTATTTAGCTGGTGATTTACAATAAGTGACCGTGTGAGGGTTCAGTGTCCCAATTCAGTACACATGGCTTTTAATACATTTTTTAATGAATGGATTTTGAGATTCTTATCTCACCTTTCATTTTGATGTGAAACTCCCCAAGCAGGTTCTCCAGTTCGCTCTCGAATGTGCTCATGTTCTGCACAAGAGAGAGAAAGATGAGACTGATCGCACAAATAGCCGTTTGTCTCGCAAGACAAGAACAACAGTAATCAAGTTATCTCCAGAGACTCTGACAAAGCCAGTCAGAGCTAAACTGCAGAGGAGGCAGGACGGCTGGTCTAAGCCCTCAGGACAGGTGACGACAGGTGTGTGTGTGTAATTGGGACTTAAAGGTCATTCTGCAAGTGTGTGACTTACATTATTAGTGTTTACAAATCAGTGTAAGCAGTAATCTGTATCATACATTTAATGTGGGTTTTGTCTGCTGTGACACAATATTTAATGCATACTGTTATATTTTCATGAGTTCATGTAACAGATACTAAATGTATCTGTTCAGATCTGACATACAAAAAAATCATAAAATCATGTATGTGTAGTATCGTGGCTGATTTTTTCGAATGATGTCTCAGAAGCTCCATGTTTCCAGAATAATATTCCCTCTCTAACTAAAGCCAATGCCTTTATTAGACCATTGATAAGTAAACTACATACGACTTTGGTAAGGTGAAACATAACTTTGAGGCCAATCCTGCCAGAAAAAATGTGCAGATCTTCCTCAGTATTCCTCACACACTGTATGTCAGTACCTCAGTGTATTCCTTGTACCGGCGGTTGACCTCTGCGATGCTCTCCTTGGTGCCTTTGGTAGAGGGAGAGGAGGAGAAGGCCTGCTTCATCCGGCTGGCACCTTCCCTCAGACGGCTCTGGATGCAGAACGCCTCGTACAGCTCATCCACCTGAATGCACACACACGAACACACACACAGAGTCCCCCCATCTTTAATAAATGTTCCACAAGGACAAGCATGCATTCATACATGTGCAAACTTTCTCGTTCATTAGTAAAGAGAGAGAGAGAGAGAGAGAGAGAGAGAGAGAGAGAGAGAGAGAGAGAGAGAGAAAAACTTCTGCACTAATGAAATGAAGCAAGTCTTTGAAGTTAGAAACCCTCCATACATTACATCAAAACATCCCTGGGCAGGAGGCAGACTCCCTAAAAACTTCCAACTGCCATCTAAATTATTCTGGATGTGTTCACATCTCACTGGGATTCATTCAAGGATGCCCAACACAGCTTCAGGCCTGTGTAGTATTGAGTAACTCAGCACTACTGTGACTTTTACCAACGGGTCCTCAACTAGAGCAAAAATAGAAACTGATGAAATGTATGACAAGACGCTCTAAAAATGACAGGCTCCACTGTGACTGAGAAGAAATTTTCACAATGTTCAGATTGAGGAAAGAAGAAAAAAAAGGAAGAGGCTACAAATGAAGACGCAGTGAAATAGGTCAAAGAAAAATTACAGAAAGTTACGGAGCAAAAAATGGCAGGTCCAGACAGAAAGACAGTCGTTAAGCATGACAAACAGATAACCTGAGAAACGGAGGAGAAAAGAGTCCTGCACTGTACTGACAGTGAGCAGATACAGCTGGAATGTATCAGTGTAACTGTAGCCTCCAGTGGCAGACGCCTGTGCCGTCCCCGGTTTGCGACAGACCCCAGTGGGACACTCCCAAAGCCGGGGGAACAACAACAGACGGCGTTTAGAGCTCATTTGGAGATGTCTGCCCGACTTGAGTTTGCAGCACCAGTCTCATCTAACCTAAACCCACAGGGAATGACTCCATCAGCATCCTGCTTTCTCAGTGTGGGCTGAAATGTTGGGAGTTTCAGCTGGAGTGAAATCATTAAGATAAGATGATGTTGTAACCACAGCAGTAATAGTTTTGTTAAGTCCGTTGGTTAGAAAATCAGTTGTCTGCAAAGCCAAAAGGTGGAGGAGCTTGTTTTGTTTTCTAAATGTTTTTTTTTTTATGGTTTTAGTCTTTTTATGTGGTATTGTAGTCTTCTCTTATGTTCTGTCTCATCATCTCATTATGTTGGCATATTTAATTGTTTCACTCTGTTATTGTACTGTAAGAGCACAAAAGGGAAGTGTACTATATATAAATCAGGTTATTATTATTCTCCATGGCTCTAACTCTATGGCATCAAATGATCTAATTAAAGAGCAACAAACTTTTAAAAGGTATTAATATCTGACACTTCCTTTTGTTCATGTCTTTACTTTTATTTATTTTTTCTTTTCACCTGATAAAACAAACTATCACTCTGTTTTAAAAAGTTCTCTAGTTACTTTTTGTAGACTTCTGTGCACCTAGTGTCAAAATCGATACAAAAATAGGCCCAAAATAGGCTGAATTCATTATTAAACAAAACTTCCAATCTCCTAAATGAAAGTAGGTGTCCATCAACTCTTCTTAACAGAGGATTGACTGATTTAAATATTGCTGAGTCACTCAAACTAATTTCTCCCAGAAACTACAGTCTATCAGCAGTCAAGGTGTTCAGCATCCTTGTCTGTCTGCTTTTCTGGCTTCCTGAATTCACATATGATCGGAGTGGCAGCCGGGCAAAAACAAAACACCTCCGGTGAGCCTCATCAAAGGGAAACATTGCAGCCTGCATGACGAGAGCGCTGAAATATTGATGCCTCGCGCTCTTTATGGCACTCATTAGGGAGAAGCGGGAGAAAATGGGCCATTCTGGCTCCTGCCGTCCTAACAGCTTCTCTGAGTGTTTGTTTGTGCATCTTTGTGTCTGAAACGAACACTGCCAGCATGTTTGTGAGAGGAGACTGTGACTGTGTATGTGGACATGTTTACATGGGTATGGAGAGCATGTTTTTACTGTGGTGGGTGGGCACATGAGGGTTTACAGTAAAAAAATGATGTTCACTATGGGGTGTTTTTGTTCAGGAGGATGGGTAATGTAGCTTATAACTTATCTTGTTACACCTACATAGAAAAAGGACACCCAGCCTCATCTCACCAACTCCACGTCAAACCAACCAGTGCCCTCCAGCACCCTCTCCCCCGAATGGGACCCAGCCCTGTCTGTCTGTCTGTCTGTGGTATGTGGTGTATGTGGCGGGGCTGCAGCAGCTGAGCTGAGCCAGCTCTAAAACACTCTCCAACCACAACTGTTACTCTCAGCTGTCTGATTGGTAGAGAGCTGGTTGTGAGCTAACACTTCACTACAAAACAAAGGTAAACATGAGCAGTGGTGGTTGGTGATGAAGCTGAGATCATTTCAAAAGAAAACACACATTCGTCCAAGTGAACTTTTGTATTGATTGAGTTGAGAAATATGATGTAACTGTTGTCACATAAAGGAGAAAACGCCTACAATGAGTTTTCCATTGGAGAAAATGGTGCGCCTCTGTAACAATATTTCACAAGCTGGGGCTGATGAATAGCCGTCATTCTTCTCAGGCAATCAGTAATCATATCATTATCAGCCAATTAGGCTAATTTTTGCCCCCAATTACAATCGCCTCTTGCTGCCTTCAAGGAAATGTCCTTTTGAAGGTCAGCCAGGCGCCACTCCAGAGGACAGCCATCAGCATATTGCTGCGCCTCGGGCACATTTCACCCCAGAAACAGAAGGAACATTAGAGGCAAAACACAGACAAAGAAAAGGACAGAAACCTGAACACGGGCAGATGGATGAAGTGTGGAAAAAGACTTACACACACCTTTTGAGCACAGGAGAGCCAGGCAAAAGAAAGAAGCCATACATTTTCTGGGCAGGTGGTAATGCTACACACACACACACACACACACGCACACACACGCACACACGCGCACACACGCGCACACACGCGCACACACGCGCGCACACACACACACACACACACACACACACACACACACACACACACACACACACACACACACACACAGGCATTGTCTTGTCTTTTTAAGTTTTTGAATCTGTGACGAACTTGCTCAGATGAATCTATTAATAATATCAACAGACACAAAAAGCAAAGGTGAAGTGATTAGTCTTACATTAATTAGAAAAGTCTGCAACAATTTAAATAAAGTGCCAAAAATTCACTGGTTACAGCTTCTCATAAACCAGTATTTGCTGCTTTTCATAGTCTTCTATGAACTGAATATTTTTGGGTTTTAGACTTTGAAGACGTCACTTTGGACACGTGGAACTTTTTTTTTTTCCTATGTTGTGACATTTTATAGATCAAATCATTAATGAAGAAAATGAAACTAATGGTTTATACAAAAAAAACTCCATCACTAAGACGAAGCATGAGTCCATATATAACTTTACATCCAAAACCTTCTCAACATAACAGATTGCTTTGGGTGACCCATGTGCTCATTTAAAAGGCAATTTCAATACAATTTCAAACCTGGTTAGACATGCATCGCCCGAAAAAACCACATCTGAACCATCTTAATTAACTTTTACCAGACGTTAACAAATACTGAATGTAAATTTATTCTGAATTAAGTCCTCTTTTGGACTCGGAGTCCCTGTATTAATTACTGCTCAGTGGGATGATAAAAGCTATGAGGCTCAGAGACCCAGTGAGGGATTATGGAAGAGTCTTTAGTGGTGAATCAATTATGCCCAGGGTGCAGATAATACAGTGTTCACATTTATTAACAGTGAAGTCTATATTTTAGCTCCATTTTTTTGTATTTTTAAGTGAATCCTAGGATAAGCCTTGTAAAAACACAAACAATTAATATTTGTTTGGTGGTTTGACAGTAGGGCCAGAGGTAAGGGTTGTGGTTTTTATTAAGAATTACTGGCAGTTTTAAAGGATTGTCTCTGTATCTACTGTATATCTGGATTTAAATTGTGGGATTTTGAATATGAGCAGTGAATCTTTAGGATATGGAAGGAATCCTCTTAAGATATGACCATTATCCTGAATCGTAGGATAATGGTGTGCGTACACACAGACACACAAACACACACACACACATGCAGACTCTTTCTGCCAGGGGGCGAGTGATTATAAGCAGATTAAAACAGGCGGGCCACATCAAACAGCATCAAACACACAAGCCCCTCTCCGGGGATCTGTGGGCATGTGTGTGTGTGTTGGTGGTAAGATTAGCATTCAAGGGGAGCAAAAAATCCCTGTAATAAAAATAATCACATGCAAAGTATTCACACTCATTTTTGAATTGAATTTGGCACATGGTTAACACACACAAACACACACACACACAATTTCTCTCTTTGTCACTCGTCTCTTTAATGATGCCCTGCTGATATTAATAGCCAACACACACACACACACACACACACACACACACACACACCCTATCCCATGCAGGACATCATAGGGGTTGTATTGTGCCACCTGCTTCCTCCATGTGTGCCAATTACGGCTCGGACATCTGCGGGCAGCCGGCAGCACGAACAGGAACAAAAGACAGGGCTGATGTGAGTCCCAAACACACACACACACACACACACACACACACACACACACACACACACACCCTAACAACTTGCTGATGGATGATTGTTAAGTCATCCCTCGCGGCAGCTGTCCAGCACAAAGAGACACGCCTGAGCCTGAGCACAAACACTGACAAACACGTACAGACTTACTGTAACTCACAGCTGCTGAAACACTGAACATCTTCTCCTAGCTGCTGATTGACTGTGAGGATTTGTTTTCACTAATGAGGTGAAGTGCATGTGCTGCACACACACACACCAAATTAATGACATACATATGTGTAACACAATGTATGACATCTAATGTTCGATAACACACATTTGTTCTCATTCTCAGCTATTCGAGGTGTCCTGCACACAGGAGTTCATTGTTGTCCATTTCCTGTATCTTGCAGCTTCTTTTTTTCTTTTTCTTATCTCTGAAGTGCTCATCACTCTGGCTGCAAAATATAAAAGGTGATGATGGCTCCTTCTTCCTCTCTACAAAGGCTAATCAGCACACAAAAATGTACTTCCTTTTTTCACTCTGTCATGCAGACATGTCAAGGCCAGAATTAGTGGACTGAAGGCTGATAGTGATTTTGATATGGGGGGGGGGTTTAAAAAATCTGCTGATAATTTTTTTTTAACAAAAACAATCTTGGCAGGATCCCAGATTTGTTTTTATTCTAACTGTGACCAAATACAAACTGAGCAGGACATTTCACAGCTGACAAATCAATTTGTCAGTGCTCTCTGGTGAAACTCTGTAATGGTGACACTGTTTCTAAATGACCTCAAATGCATACTTATTGGCATAGGCATACATTGACATATACAGCAATATGAATTATATGCAACAACCCAGTATCGGTCTAGCTTGACAAAACTCTGTGGTAACTGATGACTGACTGAACACATTACAACTCTGTCAAAGACTATTCACCTTCTGCAAGCACAACTACAACCACTCTTTATATAAGGATGAGGCCAACTCTTTTTGTGTGTGTGTGTGTGTGTGTGTGTGTGTGTGTGTTTGTGTGTGTGTGTGTGTGTGTGTGTGTGTGTGAATTAATTTCCTGACCTCAATGCTTTTGTGGTTGACCGATTCTCTTAGCTGGACACTTTACAATTGATCTCACTAAATAGCTATCTGCTGATGCTGATGTTTGGAAAATGGACCTGTCCACTCTGTGTGTGTGTGTGTGTGTGTGTGTGTGTGTGTGTGTGTGTGTGTGTGTGTGTGTGTGTGTGTGTGGCAATTGCAGTTCACAGGGCAGACAGGGGGCATCAAGGGTCGCTAGTGGACTCGGTATTAGTTTGGACCCAGCCTGCGTTTCCTCTGCCCTATTTCAATTTAAACTGAAATTAAAAATAAGTCCTTACCAAATCATGTTTCTGTTTCTACAAAATCTGATACAGCATCAGAAAAGTTCAGACCGTCATACTTTTGGTGGAAAAAGTCAGGACATGCGCTACACTACAGGACCAAATCAAACATTATCTTTTGTGGACAGAAACTGACAGATCCAAAGACAATGACAAAGAATTTTGTGAAGTCATTTCTCAATCCAAAGATCTGACAAGTTTTAAAACTATTTCATCCCCAGTCAAGACAAGGGTTTAGCAAAGGAGCGCTGGTATATATTTAGAATGAAAGAACACGCTGAGTGCTAGATTTAACTCACTTTTTTGTTGTGCTTTGACTTTTGAGGCCTTTTGCCTGTCTGGCAAGATAAATCAGTCTCCTTCACTATTTCAAATATTTACAAGTGCATTCAAATCTATTTTTGTACAGAGCTGAACAGAAGAGCTTCAGAATAATGTTGGATGTTAAAGAGAAAGGATCTGAGTGAGTGTGTGTTCCTTTTAACTGCAGCTTGCGACAACCTCACAAAAAAGTATTGAATCTGCCCGTGTTTTTTCCTTGTTATTTTATTCAAAGTGGCGCACACTTGCAGACACATACCTAAGTCTCTACGACAACCTCACCTATTTTAAAATGACTCAGACTTTTTTTCTCTATGTTGCCCCCCATCTCCTCCTCTCTTCTTTTTGCCTTTATGGAACCCGTTAATCGCTGTAGCCTCCTAACTGCCCTGACCTAGATTCACCGTTGCCTTCAACCCTTCAGAAACACTCGCGAGCCACAAATGTGACCAAGGGCTTTGTTTTTGTCGGTCGTCGTGTTGTTGTTTACACGGACAGCTCTCTCTCTTTGGCTTCGGACAGCTGAAGGTGAGTTTTTATTGTCTGTCAGGATGTATGTGAACATAAAGGGTTAACATCACCCAATAGACGGCTTCTCTGAGCTCCTCAGGAGTTCAAAGGCTCTGTCTTCAGGTAACCATGGTTACCTTTGGAGCTGAGCTGTTGTTTGGGCGTGTGTATACTGATTGCCTGCTGTCGCGTCTGACTTGACGCACAGCGAGGAAGGCCGTCACAGAGCCACAAAAAGGGGACACGGAAGAAGAATCACAGAGCCTCACTGCCTCGCAGGGGGATTAATGGCAACCTGGAGGAAACTACAAAAGAGCATAAAAAGGGAAAAAGTTTCCCAACCCGGCCACCACTGTGGGGAAGTTTTTGACTCAACCTGCTGGAAACTTCGCTAATACATCAATAAATGAACCCGAAAAGAGCAGGAACACTGTCCTGACCTGGCAGCAAAAATCCTTCCTGGAGCTAACTTAAAAAATAAAAAATAAAAAGTTAGCAACATGTGGTGTCACAGTGCACCTACTCAACATGAAAGTTGTCAAATAATGACCCCTAATTTATCAGAACGTGAGGTTAAATGAATAGTTCAACAATTTTGATTTTCCTGCTGAGAGTTAGATAAGAACAATAACATCACTCTCACACTTAGCTGGTAAGTAGATTTTGTTACCTTTGGACACAGAGAGGCTAGCTGTTTCCCCCGGTCTACAGTCTTTATGCTAAGCTAAGCTAACTAGCTGCTGGCTGTAGCTTCTTGTTTACCATACAGAGATGAGAGTGGTACCAATATTTTAACTCTTGGCAAGAAATTGTCCAAATGTCAAACTGTTGCTTTAAAAGAGGTAGAAATATGCATCGTCACTGTGGTTCCTGAGTGACTGACTGAGATGTTGAGAGGCTTCTGTGAGAGAGGTATCGAGAGGAAACATCTTAGCAGCACTTATGCTTTCCAAGGTGCTGCAGAGGCATGCAGGAAATAGACCAGACTGGACTCAGTGCTGAACTCAGATTATGGAGACTGACAAAATAATAACAACCCTTAAAAATATTTAGTTATCACATTGGAGTGCTTACCTTGCTCATGTGAAACTCCAGACGTCTCATGTACCTCTCAATGGTTTTGATTTGCTGCAAAAAGACAGAGGCAGCACAAGATTTACTGCTGCCTGTGAGAATGTGGCTACATGTGGTTTACAGCTGTAAAAATAATGATTTTTATGTCCATACCACAGGATGTATTGAGGCACAGTTTGCAATCCTGTCTCTCCTCCTGCCCCATCAACCATTTCCCCCCTCTCCCATTTTTCCTGTATTATTTCTCAATCCCTTCAGCTCTTCACTTCTCTACTCTGTCCTTCCTCCCTCCTTTATTCTGCCTTCAGCTGTTTTTTTTTTATTTTATCCCTCCTTTCAACTCTTTTTTTTTGTAACATCAAAGATTTTCCCAACACACACCAAACTTGGAGTGGTTGTTACAGTAGACCCTCCCCTCCATCAACTCACCTTGTCAAGATCATACAGCACTCCCTGGAGAGAAAAAAACCACACAGACACAAACACACACACACACACACACACACACACACACACACACACACACACACAGTTAGTACAGAGGGCCAGCACAGCTCAGGCTGCTTAAGTAATGCAAAGCAGACTGCTGGCATCAAGAAAAGATCCTATTAAACACTCTTACCAGTGACTCTGCATGCAGTGTGTGTGTGTGTGTGTGTGTGTGTGTGTGTGTGTGTGTGTGTGTGTGTGTGCGCGCGCGCACTGTAGCAAATTAAAATGCATTTGTTATGTGTGAATTTATGACACTGACCTTTATGTATTATGATTGCATGTGATGTATTATCATTTCAATGACAACAAAACAGGTCTGAGATCACAAAAGTGACAAAAGTGAAAATCTTTGCCCTTGCTACTTTCATACACAGATACTCATGAGAATTCAGTGATTTGAATATTTCTATAGCAGTTGTTAATGGTTGGCTTTGGGACATTGGGCTGAGTTGCGACAACTGCATGTCAGAGGCCTCGGCTTCTTGTCGCCTTTGAGATGAGATCCGACCCTAATTACGAGTTTCTAACTTATAAACAGTGTTCAAGTCAAATAAACAGTTTTGTCATAATTATAACTGAGAGGCTTTGATTTTTATGACACCTCCTATATATCCTATTTAAAGCTTAAAAATACAGAAATGACTGAAAGCTTCAAACAAACGATGTAAATGTAAATGTAAATGAATGTGCTGTAGTGTCTCACCAGGCGAGAGTTTCTCTTCATGTCCTTCATCAGACACATGAGTTTGTCCAGCTCCGTTTGATGAACTTCCAGATACTCACTACAGAGCAGAAAAATTAAAACTCTTAGGGTCCTGTACAAATGCATTGCTTATTGATTCAACGATTATTTTCTTGATTAATCAATTTTTTATTTGGTCGATAACATGTCAGAACATAGAGAAAAATGCCTACAGTAATGTTGCATACTGCCTAACATACTGAAGTCCGACTAACAGCCCAAAGAACTTTTTTTTTTTTTTTTTTTTGTTATTAAAACAGCAGCCAATCAATTCTCTGTCATTCAACTAATTGATTAATCTAATCATTTCAGCTCTTAAATTAATAGAATTTAGTAAGTGCACTGGAAGTTGATGAAAATAATATGTATATAATGATAGCAGTATAAATACTGTACTTTGGTACATAAACGTTTGTGCGGTTGTATAAATATATGGCGCAGATAATGTCAACAGGCTGTAAATGTTCACGTTAAAGTCACAAATTATCAACATATATGGACTGAGACCATTTACTCACAGATTCTCTCACTCGCTTTAAAAGGAAATAATGGCTCTGGAACATTAGATGAGTTTATGGATTGAAAATGGTGTTTACACTTTGTAAGTATCCATCAGCGTGTGAGTTACTCACTCCAGGCCTTGTTTGAGTGCGTTGTAAACCTCCTCCAGTCTTTTGGGCTGCGGCTCTCTGGAGCTGCTGCCTCCCTTGTGTCCTGACAGGTGAGGCTTCTTGGGCTTGGACTGAGGCTTCTTCTGCACCGCTGAGTTCCCCATGAAAGAGTTACACCTGCACAAACACACACACACACACATACATGATAGTAAGTGCAATGGAGGCTCTATTAAGAGTTGATTTTTTACCAGCGAGCAGGATAATTTGCTATTTGCCGTCTGTTGTGCAATGATTTTAAACACACTGTGCTTCAAGACATTTTCAAAACTCTCATAGCGCAAGCAGGAGAAAGGAAGAACATCTTGGCCTGAACATTTACTTTGGACTACAAGGTGTACATAAGTTACTGACTCAGACAACATTACATCTCATATCAAATATTTATCACAGTATTTCCACAGTATTTCAGATAGCGAGGCCTGCAGGCTGCCTATAATAATACGTTAGATGAGATTTCTCTATTATTTTACAGCATCCTGAACATGCCCTTGGGCCAGTCTCAGCATGAATTTATCTCATCTGACAGATGGAGAGGGCTCATTGAGTCTGTTCACACCAAGATAACTCAGTCATACAGGACTGACACTTTCAGCCTGCATTGTATGCAATTAAGCAAACTCCCAGCATAACCTCAGCGGTGAACCGTTTCCTCATCAGTCACAGGGCTGTGCTAAATCACAGGTACGCACAAATATATGCAACCACATGCAAACAAGTGTTCTTCTCCAGCAGATGACCAACAGTGTGACTGACTGAAGGGGGAAGGCCAACAAATGTGTGGTTAAATAGAGTTCATTTGTTGATATATGTAAATAATGGGCAACGACAGTGGTATCATTTATGTACAAAAGTGTAGGACTGCAATTAACAAGTACTTTCATTATTGATTAATCTTCTGATTATTGTTTCGATCAATGAATCATTTGAATTATAAAAAATCAGAAAACAGTGACCGAAACGGTTATCAAAATTATTTATTTTTAGATTGATTACCCAACTAATTATTGTAGCTCTACCAATGTGCAAACCTGAAGTGAAATCTTTCAATTGCTTGTTTTGACTGACCAACAGTGCAACAATCGACACGTGTTTAAATCATTTTTAGTGATTTATCAAGCAAAAACGACAAAGATTATCAAAATGTTAATTGAGAACGCCATGAATAGTTTCAACACTCTGTCTAAGCCTTCATTTTTCTGTTTCTGTAGAGCACAGCCGCCTCACAAGGCTTTTTTCTCTTCACATCATTTCCATTTTAGGTCACAATCATCTTACCCGCTCAGGCACATTTCAGCTTTTAAAACCATTACAGATTTAGCTGACAAATGACATTTCCCCCTGACTTAATGAAACGATCCCAGAGTCATCTCAGGGACGCGGCGACAACCAATTCCAGCGCTCGACAAGTTGGAACGTGGCACGTCTTGCAGCGCGCCAGGAAAACGCAGCACAAGTTAAGCTAAGCTGCCACAAATGTAGGGCAACACTGAATGAGAGCGCTGCGTAGCCTTGGGGTCACGCAAGCTGTGGTACAGTAGTGTCTCTGTGGCAGGGAAACACACACACACACACAGAGAAACACACATATGCATGCATACATACTAACACAATTCCAAACTGACTAATAGTTGTGCATTTGCATTCTTGCACACAAAGTGCAAAGTCTGCAGTATGCATGCTTGCATATACATGAAACATGCACATGGATACAAACATGGATGGTCTTTGCTCATAACACACACACACAAACACACACACACATACACCGACACACTGGAGTGGCCTAAGAAGCCGCATCTCTGCAGCGTTCCACCTCGCTCATTATCAGAATCGTAACTTGTCAGTCGCTGTCAGTCGCCCCCACACCCCGAGTCATTCCAACCAATTACACCGTTCACTGTCTGAGCACAGAGAAAAGAGGGCAACAGTGTCTTCAAATAGGTTCTCACAGCGGGACCACAGGAAGTCAGAGAGGGAGGAAACACAGATAAAACTCTTATCTCTCAAGAACTTTTATCGATCTCCGACTTCTTTCAAGCAGCTTCTGGTTGTGAATGACACAGTGTTCAGGAAACTGACTTAGCTGTGTGGTTATGCAACAGATTGATGATCACCCTTTTTAAGAATCTGTAAAGGAGCTGAATTCTTAGACTTGCTGTGGCTTGCTTAACATCATGAAGGTTGGTCATGACGGAAACAGTTAAGTAATGTTTTCTGTGGCTGTGGAGGAGAAAATAAATTGAATGAAAAAACTATGAAGCTGCATGATGGGATTTGTAGGATCCTGTGTTTTTGAAACTGGACCCATACTGAGAACTAAAAGTCAGGATATGTACGGCTCTGCTGTTTCGATTAAAGCAATACTGCAATAAATCAGAGGAATAGCGCTTCAATGATAAAACAACTCTTTAATGGCCTGATCTGCTGTTGACTTTTTATTTGATGACTTTCATTTAATGTTAGACATCATTAACTTATTTTCTAAAAAGCTTAACCTCCAAATCAGTACCGTTTCTGAGGATATGGTACTTTAAACTTGTTTGTGGAAAATCAATTTGCTGCAGTGTTTTAGAACAAAGTCCCGGAATCACCCGCTGACCTAAATTGTTATTTCAGAAATGAGTAACATCAGTTGACTACAGATTAACCGCTTTGAAGATTTCTGCCTACCGTGAGCGTCGCTCCTGTAATGTGCTGAAGCCAGCGAAGGACTGACTCCGGATTATGCCGTTGGGCCCTCCGGGGGAGTGGGTGCCGGCCGCCATGATCTCTGGGATGTGGGACGACACTCCTGGAGAAGAGAGAGAGAGAGAGAAAAAAAAAACACAGACACACAAATCTGTTACATACAAATCCATTGCCAATATTTGGACAACAAGTGAAGGACCAGGGACAGTAATACATCACAAGCACAATAAAAGCACCTTGTGAACTCAGTTAACACCAAGGCCATGTCAACACGGAGGTTAACTGGAGTACAGTGAGCATTGTGCAGTGTAGCACAAAGTAGGCACTGTTGGTGATGCTCGCCGTGTGCGATGTGGACAAGCAGCATTCAGAGCCTGTGCTAACATGACTCCTCTGGTCTGCCTGTCACCACTCAACTGCAAACATACCTCTACTGTTACTGTTGCACGTTTTCCCACCTCAGACAAGGAGCGCACAACACGACTCCTTTCACTTTCTTTGTCCACATTTTTTCGGACCGACTAAGACTTAGACTCCTTTAAAAATACAATTCATCAGACTGACAGCTGTTTAAAAGCCACAGATGTGTCGCAAGCAGCAGCCACTGCATAAAAAGGCCACTTTTGCCAGTTAGCGATCTAATTCACATACATGCATCTAATGAATTCCAGGAAAGCCAATCCACACCGTCCTATGACTGAGTTATCTAATCAGCCTCTCCTGCAGTTAAGACATCTTTTATCACTGTGTCTATATTTAGCTGCAGGAGCCTGTCAGATTTCAACCTTTTTTAAACCTGGAGATGCAACATGACTCACGATGGGCACTTGGGGAGCAGGCTGAAAATAGACACAGAAAAGTCCATCTATAGCTGTCAGATAATGACTTAACAGAGATCAAGTGCCCAGAGAGAAGAATCCACTGAGATAACTCAATCACAGTTTCAACCAGCATGATGAGATTTTGTCCAGATCATGGCGCAGGTGTATCTTCTAATCTCTGGCCTCATGTTACCTCAAATAAATAGCATCCCAACAGGAGTGAGATACACAGATTTTTTATTGGGAAAAAGAGAGCACCGGTGTCAGGTTGGTAAACGTACCGGCCGATACTTCAGAATCTGATCGGTACATCCATGAGACAAAGTACGCTACAATAATTTCCTCTCACATTCTGCTGAGTTTTAACCAAACAATACGAGAAACAGTATTTATGATCTTCTCTATAAATTACTGATTATTTATCCATAAGGCCAGATTCTCATTTTGGCAAAAACCCTCAGCAACAAGAACTAATTTAAGGATCTGATGAGTGTTTTAGTGAGGACTTTTCGTTCCTACAGTAGTAAGTTCCTGAGTTTAGTCCCTCTGGTCTCATATTTCCTGGAACCTTTTGGTTGAAAATATGTATTTGATGGTTGTTTTAATTCTGTATTTAATACAAAATAACCTCAATGACACAATCAGCTCATTCACTCTCTTGCTCTCTCGATTGCAGTGTTTACCATGGCAAACTGCCCTGACAGTTTCAGGGCCATCAGAAAGTACTGCCCTGGAGGAAAGACATTTTGGCACGAGAGCTATCATTGAAGAACTGAATTTAGAGATGAAAAGCAAACAAGCAAATGCAGAGATAAGCATCTGCTCAACTGACCAACATGCTGACTTCAGTGTTGACAGTGTGATGACTGCAAAAGCTGCAGTGAGCCAGACAAGTGCCATTCCTGCCTTGTTAATCTGTATCACAACTGAGCTAAAGGAAAAGTATGGAATCACAGAAAAGCCTGGAGGAGAGACAGAGACGCACAGATTTGTCAAATCAAATTAAACTTTGCTAACAAGCAGAGGAATGAGCCTGTGAAGCCTCAGTATTCAGCTCTCCTCCGTGTCTGCTTCGCCTCCACTCACAAACTAGTGAAAACATCCCGCAGCATCACCAGTCGAAACCGAGTGACAAGCAAATTACTGCTTTTTTTATTTTTTTAATCTGTTTGTGGGGCCCTGTGTTTGCACATGCCCCGTTTCTTTGATTTTTTTCCACTACTCCATCCATCTTTCTGTCTCTAGAGGACAGACCATGTCTGTGTTTTGGGGGGGGGGCTGGGTCGGGCTCATGTTGTCATACAAATACATGTACAAACACACACACACTTCCCTCCGCAGACACCGCAGTACTACCAGCAACCTGATATCCTCTCCCTTTGGTGTCTGTGACAGATAGAGAGCAACACAAAGACTCGACACGGGGCTCGAGGAAAGACTAGATCCATGTTTTGCGGTTGGGGGACAATAGGCTGGTGAGACTGATACTGTTCAGGCTATTAATAGCAGCCAGCTCACTTTGACACTGAGGAGCCGGTTAGCTGTGACTCAGAGATGGACAAACATATATCTTGTTCGGTTCTACAGATGTGTTGATGTTTTGTATGTGAGAATATGCAAGAAAATTAAAAATTTAGGCTACAAACAGTTAAAATCTATATCACGATAATATTAAAGCAGCACAAGTCAATAATTCTTATTTTAACAATGAATCACATTACTATGTGTTAACGTGAAACCTGTTGCTGGTAGTGACAAACTGAAATAATCGCCCAACTCTGAAGTTTCCCCTCCAGCTTTGTCGCCTCTTTTGTTTTGGTTGTCGGGGCTGCAAACTCTGCTCTCCTCTCAACTGTGTTTTCAGCTAAAGCAGACAGCTGTTTTCAGCAAAAAAACAAACAAAAAAAAACAATGCTCAGATAAACTCCCTGTACACTTCCTCCACAGCAGACAAGGTTAGAGACTAGCTGGTGAACACAGTGGAGCATTTAGCAGCTCAAGAGCCAGACATTTCCCTCAGGAGTTTGTAGAGACAACAACACAGTGAAAAAATTAATGTTAATATTGGATGTGCATTTGTCAAATGGCCAGTTGCATCACTCCAAATGAATATTAATGTTGCTCTGTGCCTCCTGCGTGTGTAAATAAACAACAGTTACTGTATACACATTCGCCCTATCAACTTTACGAGGTGAAAAAATGTCAAATGTTGCATTTTAAGCTCGCTGTGCTTTACCCAAATATCCAAAAAAAAAAAAACAGTGAATGCATCTTCAAAGGGAAACTGAAAACCAGATGAAATTTGTTTTTGCTGACTCACGTGTTTAAACTTCTCACCTACTTGTAGCGATGTAGAAGTATAGTCTAGGGTTTGTCAGTAAACAGTAAAGCCACAGGTACAACACAGCACATACCTGATTTTCTGTCAGAGGCTTTAACTGTGCCGCACTGTTAAATTGTACGTATACTGCAACTGGCTCTGAAATATTAATCTGGACAGCAGAAATTCGTCCGATAACACAATGTGCCCATATCATTATGATATGATTCTGCTGACAGACGGTAATTACTAGTATTGCATTATCACCTCGCTCTTGTCACGTCTGACAGTAAAACAAACAACCTTACAGGAGAGCAGCAATTTGTTCTAATGCTGTGAAGCATTTTAGTCCATTCTGGTCTCTGGATGTGCAACAGCACAGTTTTCTGCCTTGCCTTGTTTGTCTCTCTGACTTTCTGACTCACTCTCCTAAAAGAGGAGCAGTGGGAGGCAAATAATGGTACATTTTGTTACCTAATGTTCACTGGGTAATCACAGGACAGCGATACTGTTCCTCACACTTCCCCATCATTTCATGAGGATTTAGACGAAGCTAGAGAGAAGATGTGGACACTTGAGAACTAAAAACTGTACACAATGATACCAGCTGTTCAGTTTCACATCCCTTCAATACCTTGATGTTCCCAAATGGTATGAGCAGCGAGCTCTGCCCATGACGAGGACTCGAGGGAATAACACTGAGTACTGTCATCAGAGAGTACATGCAGAAAATAGCTTCATATTCACCTCAGAGTTACACAGTGTGCTCACTGAAATCTAACACTGACTGTAAGATGGTGAATGAAATTCATTCAGTTTTTGTCCCACATTCATTTTCAGGGACTCACTCACCCACTGCTGGATAAATGTGGCACTTTATAAAAAGATAATCATCTCGGCTTTTCTCTCCCAGATTTAAAAAAAAAAAAAAAAAAAAGCCAATACCTGTGTTTCAAGCATTACACAATAGGCTTTATGAGCAAAACATCTGCAGCATCTGTATCTAAGATGTGGAAGTGTATCGAGCTGTTACAGGCAGATTAAAGGAACATCAGCTGTTTATGTCTTGCAAATCAGTCTATTGAAATCAATTCATTTGTCATTTTTAAAGCAAAAATGTCATATATGATAGCAAACTTAATATGTTTTAGTTTTAGACTGTTGGTCTCACAAAACAAGACATATTAAGACATCAGAATTGGGCTCCAGGAAAACTGTGAATGACATTTTTCACTACTTCACTTTTTACATTTTATAGACAAAAAGATGAATTAAATGAATAATCTGCAGATGAAGTAATGATGAAATAACTGTTAGTTGTAAGTTTATGTCTCATTTTCTTCTATATTAATGCTATAAGAGTAAAATATTTAGCCATTTACCCAAAGTTAAAGAAAATATATCCTGTTTTTACTCTCCTTGTGTTCTTGTAGTAGACACCTTGGCATGAGCAGCATGCTAAATGTCCACACTCATCCAAACTTCTGGTTTATCCCAAAACCTTTCCCAGAACTCAGCAAGCCCCTTCAAAACAAACTTCACATTTAAATCAATGCCCCCCCCCCACACACGCACACACACACATTCCCTCACAAAGAGCTGAGTGCAACCACTGAATCATAAAAAAACTCTGCACTTCTTAGTGCCACCAACAAATAACACATTCTCACACAACTTAGTGAAGGAGGACTTGCATGAAAGAGCAGAAAAACTGATGTAATAGCAGTTTGCCGCAAGTGCTCCAGGGTCCATGTGCATTAATGATTTAGTCCCACCCTTGACAGTGTGTGTCTGTGTGTGTGTGTGTGTGTGTGTGTGTGTGTGTGTGTGTGTGTGTGTGTGTGTCACCACCTCTGTTGGCTGTGTAAGCTGGGGATGGGACAATGTTTCATGAAATTTAGCTTGAACAAAAACTGACACATTTCAGGAAGAATTCATTTTAAAATGACATCTGTTGCCTTT